TATATATATATATGTCCTATAAAAAAAGTTGTACAGTTTCAATATTACATTATTATATTTGATTTCCATTTAATGAGAAAAAATGAATAATTGTTTGATTATCAATCATGATTATAAATTAAAATATTTAACTTTATACGTATATTTGACAAAACTTCAAATAATCATAATGCAAATGAAAAAAAACTGAACCATTATTTAATGAATTGACTGCATATTTTTAATCGAGTTAGTTAAGTTTAAAACCAATTTACTTAGCAGAAGATTTTTGTAAGTTTATGATAAATCATAAACTATTGTCCACTGTTAACTTATAACTGCCTTGTGTTTACTTAATTTGACTAGAGCGTAGGAGTATTGCAACAAAATATTTGGGAACTCTAATTACATAATTTTTTACCTAATCTAAAAAAATATTTCTATACAACAAGAAATACAAATTAATTCATTTTCGGTATAGTCTATGGCAGAATTTTAGGAGACAAAGCCCCCTCAAGTCTCTCCAGATTGCGGTCAAATCCAAACTGGACTGAATTAATTTCGTTACCCACCTTTGAACAATGAAATGATATTAAATCATATTTTTGTTTGATTTCATATGAAACTAATTGTAATGACAGTTTTAGAGAATGGGATACCGAATATCTTTATAAACGCATCTGTTTAATAACGAATACTATCATCATAAAAACGTACCTCTATATTTTTTAACTAAACTAATTGAATGTTATAATATTAATGTGCTTACAGTGTTATAATAAGCACTAATAAGGAGAGGTAAAAAAGATTTTACGTCTGAAAATTGGAATCGCTCTTCTTTCCCCTCCAAAAAAAAATTTAAGGGCTCACACCAGTTATGTTACCTTTATGTACCTATTTTATCAAAAGTCGGATACATTTCGGGGATCTTTATTGTAATAATTATTCGTTAATAGACAGTAATCAATTATAACGCTATTTTATTATATTAATTAATATTTATTAATTAGTGATAAGGGTTATATTTTTCCATCAGATAATATATTGCTACGATATTCATCTACTCCGAAATTTGATAATTTTTTAATCGATTTCGTGAATAATCGATATTCGGAGCTAATTTCATTCGGAGCAATCAATTAATAGTCCTATTCGGAGTATTCGTCGTCGTAGTAACATCCAAATTTTTGTAACCAGGTATTCGTAGTAATTGTTGTCGGAGTAAATGTATTCGGAGGATTTTTTTACAGTGTCGGAGTAAATGAATGTCGGGGCATCATCAGTTCGTGGCAATCTCCGGAACCCAATTTTTCATGTTGTTTCAAAAATTTCAAAATACTAAACAAATTTCATTTTTTTTTTTTACTAAATTAATTTCATGGGTTATTTAATTATATTTATATGACAATTTATCAGTTCAATATTCATGAAACAGATAATTTAACTGAATCATCATAAATTACCATGGCAGATAAACATAATGTTATGTTTGTATGTTTAGGAAATATATGCCGTTCTCCAATGGCTGAAGCTGTATTCAAAGAAGTAATTAAACAAAGAGGTATTGCTGATAAGTGGTATGCTGAAAGTTCAGGCACTGGTGGTTGGCATGTAGGTTGTTCTCCTGATCAAAGAACTATGGCTGTACTCAAGAAGAATAATATCGAGTATCAACATACTGCACAACAGCTAGTGAAAGATGATTTTCATAGGTTTGATTTTATTTTTGGTATGGACAACAGTAATATAAGTGAAATCAATCGTAGAAAACCAAAAGGATCTAAGGCAGAAGTTTTTTTGCTGGGGTCATTTGACCCAAAAGGAGAAACTATAATTCAAGATCCATACTATGATTCTGATAATCTAGGATTTGAAAAATGTTATATTCAATGCTGGAAATCATGTAATGCATTCTTAGATAAATATAATAAATAGTATCCATGTAAAAATTTTATTTAATAGATATTATACAATGAATAACTAGAAATAAACAATCATACTTAATATATTTAATGAAGTCTAGTTAATATTTGAGGAGTTTTACAAAATTTCTCTCTGACTATTAATTAGTAGTAAAACTTTTGAATAACTGTAATCTTAAGATAAATTAATTTAATTGCTTTTATAATTTTTACTGATCTCTGGAATTAATAGTGACTTGAGAAAATTGTTACCATTAATAATATTGGTTGTAGCAATAACATAATCCACAGTAGCTATAAACAAATTTTAATAAATAAATTATTCACAAAATTATTTTAATTTTGATTACTTACAATCTTCCAGTGTACTTAAAAATCGAAGAGCTGATATTTCAGCAAAAGTACAGCCTCCAATAAAAAAAACTAGTACAACTTTAGGTGAATCAACCAAAAAGTTCATATTTGACGCTAAAAATTAAAATTAGCATTAATATTGACAATTCTGCATATAGTTAATTATTAACTACTTTGATTAACATCTGTGCAAACATGTTCAACACTGGGTCCAGGTAAAATTGGTAAAATATCTGACAATATTTTACTATCAAATTTTGTCATATGTTGAATTAATCTTACACTAAGTGGAGCGTAAATACCATATACATAATTTATATCATCTGGTTCAACTTCACTCATTTCATATACATCCAATTTCAATAATCGTCGACAAACTCCATAACTCCTTGAGTTAGACTACAAATAAATAGACAATTAATACATAACTTTAAAATAATTTTATTGATTTACTTGTATTTTTAAAAGGCCACATGTTTCTAAATAAGTAATCATTACTAAATATTCAAAACCATAAGTCTGAATAATTTCACGTTTATAATAATCCATCACTTTTTGTTTTAGTCCAGAATTAACAGCAGACTGCATACAAATTAAACGTAATACCTATTATCAAACTTAAAACATTAGAATAACAAGTAATTTTTCTTCAGAGGAACAATGTGACTAATTTAATATTATATTAATGCTTGATATACATTAATTAGACTTTGTCATAAGCAAGACTCGTAAGTTCATGCATTTATAACTTTAGATTTTTCAGTAAATGCAAAATTCATAACTAAGCAAAATACTTAACTATAAGTATTATCATTTGAATAAAATTGCCTTCAAAATTACTGTAACAAAATGTATAAACATACAAGTCTGGTTATAAGTAACTGTATAGTAAGAGCTACTATTAACAAAAATTATTATTTTCATATAATTATTTCAATAAAATATACCATAATAATATCATGTTTATTGGATATTAAATCTTCTATTTGAGGTAATACTTTATCAGTATCAATTCCTAATATAAGTTCTTGTTGTAAATTTATCAATTGACGGAAACTCTTTTTATCTGTTAATTCTTTAATCAACCCAGCTATAGTAGTATCTAAAATTTAAATTTAATAGTTAAAAATTATTCTTATTTTATAGAGTAATCATTCCATTAACTATTAATTTAAATGAGTGTAAATTAAATAATATTTGAGTGTAAATTGTATTACATGTTGAAAGTTGCTTTTTTAATGTTAACATATAAGGTAACTTGGATACTAATTGTTTCATCTCTTGAACAGTTTTTCCATTTCTTTTTTCATCATATTCTGATGTAATAATTTTTGCTCTTTTACTTAAATTCATTAAAACTGCATTAAAGTGTTTATTTCTATAATAAGTTAAAACAAATTAAAAATGCAAATATTCTTTTATATTATTATTTTTATATCAATTTTACCTAGTCTCAGCAAATATTTCATCACTGGAGTTCAAAACAATTTTTCTTAAAGACAGTACATTTTTATTTTCTTCATCAGATACAAATTTTTCAGCAGGTAATTCAACAGTACCTACAAAATAAAATATTTGTAAAATCAATTTAAAATTAACTAAGACTTAAATGCTCAGGAAATTCGTTATGATTAAAATTTTGTAACTTATATAATACATTGATTTTTTAATTTCTGAAGATATATTTACAAAAATAGTAATGAGCAGCAATGACAAAATATTTTATGATGACTGTCCATTCAAATTTATAGTGCACATTTTTTAATAGTTTTATTTATCTATCAAAATATTATTACACAAAAATTATTTAAAAAACAATTTCTTATAATAATAATTTACATACAGCAATCAATTCCAAATAGTTCATCAATAAGACCTTCAAATGTTAACTGAGTTGCCATTGGTGTTAATAAATCTATTGATCTATCCAATAATACAATATGGTCAATTGTTTTATAATTTCGGTTAGCTTTAGAGTTAGGTTTGCGAGGTTCTAAAGAAATCTTAGATACCAAATCCCACACATTTTTCACTATTTGACCTTTACCAGTTATATGACCTATTCGTCCATAAATATCTTCTAGCATTACAATGGCCTGTGCTACTCGATACAAACAAGTAGGATCTTTTTCAATTGATAGTTCCTATATATATAAAAAATTTAATAGAAATTAAAGAGTATCAAAATAAAATTTCAATATTTTGGAATACCTTAAAACAATCATTCATTTCCATAGACATAAGATCATTTTCCATAGGAAATAAAAAACAACAAAATTCTTCAATAGATACAAAATTACCAAAAACACCTTTCCTCTAAAATAAACAAAATTTTTGAATAACAATCTGAAAATTGATTTGAACTACTAAAATGGGATGATTATTTTAATACATATCAGTTTTTCCAAATGCAAAATTAAAATCATTAAGATCAAGATCTGGAGCAGTGGTCGGCAATTAATTTTTTACGTAGACCAGAACAGTATGTTGTATACAATATAATATTAAAAGGAAACATAAAAGTAAAATATTATTAGCTAACCATTCATTTTTCATTTGCATATAGCCTATTGCCAACCCCTGATCTAGAGTACTAATAACAGATGAATTGTAAATTATAAAATATCGTATGACAATAACATAAATTCAATGTTTATTACATACTTCCAAACGTTTTTCACACAATAAACTACGAGTTGGAACAAAAAATAAATAGTATTCTCTATGTTTCAGATTTTCTTGTGTTTCTCTGTTAAACAATTTAAAATTAAATTATATTAATTTAATATATACAATGTAAGATAACAAATAGTTTTTTAAATTTAAAAAATTTGTTTTTAATGGTTGGTTCTCTTCTAAATTTACTCTAAGTATCAGTACATAAAAAGTAAAAATTGAGTTAAAATTATTATTCAAGGAGCTCAATTTTGAAATAATTTATATATTTTTTCTTATTAATATAGATAAATTAATGTACATAGTCCCTAATTTTTAAGATATGAAAATTAATTGAACAAAAAAAATTTATATTTAGTTACTAGAATACTACAGCTTACTTATGAATATTTTCACTAATCAGGTCCATGTGGGTTAGAAATGGTCTTGTTATAAAAATAATACTCTTTACATTTTCACGAAAGCTTCCAAGTTTTCCACTATTAAGAATAAAAACTTCTTTAACATCATGTTCTCTTAACAAACTGTAAGTCGCAATTAATCCAATAGGTCTTGTGAGACCCTCATCCAATATTATAACCTATGTATAACAGAAATAATTTTTTAGAGATACACGATTCATAATAACGACATTAATTAAAATTTTTACTTTTGGACCATCACATTTATCTAATAGCTGTATTAATTCTTTTGCTGCACTTTCTTGTAACTGTCCTACATTGACACGTCCTCCCGTTAGATAGTTAGACATTTTATATAATTAGGAAAATAAAAAATAAAATCTGTAGAATTATTTAATTTAAATGTTGATAAGTAAAAATATTGAAAAATTGGAAATTAAATATACAATTAAACAATTCTAATTTTACTTAAATATTTACAAGAGAGATTAAAGTTTAATAGTAAGTACATTATCATCTAATTAATAAACCATTATATTTTAAATTAGGATAACAATATGAATTAGCCCATTATAATTTTATACTGTTGAAACAATGATGGGTGTGAATAATTAAAAGGACTTAAATTAATCATAGGTGATTTAGTAGATAAAATAAATAATTTTAGTTAAATATCTTTTAATTAAAAAAAAACTATTTAATTTAAAAAATTTTAATTAAAAAAAAAATTAAAAATTTTTAAGTATAACTGGTTAGTTTAAACCACTTTACTAAAACTTGAGAACTTGCAAATTTGAATTTATGTTTTTAATGATAATATAATACATAGTGTACAAATTTTCGTATAGATTGTGGTTATACTGTTCAACACATGATCAACTAGCTAGAGTAGCTTTTCGTTATTGATAATAATATGGGATTGCTAGTAGGAAGGTCGCGAAGTGAATTTGCGTGAACATAGTCTGCTTAATTGTGATTAAAATAAACTACAAAATTTTATTAAAATACGTAAATTTAGAAACCGCATTCTATTACACTTTAATAATGTTTGGCTTAACTAAATTAGCACAGCCTTTGGCTAAACAATCTTTACAAGTAATTCCAAAAAGATCAAATGTGGCCGTAAACGGACCACCGGAAGTCAGGATGGCGAAATGGGTAATTAAGTTTTTATTATTATAAATTATGAATCATTTTAGAAATAGAATTCAGTATATTATTATTAATTACAATACCTATGGTAATCATTATATCGGAGGTAATAATACATTAATTTTTATTGTATTATACCTTTGCATTAGTTTATATCAGAATTTTATCTTTTTGATTGCACGTTAATGTTATTTCCATCACTTATTTTTTAATTGATATATTATTTTTCATATAGGTAATTTAATTATTTTTTAAAACATTTACAAAATTATGTTAAGCATTCTATCTGCCCAAAAGTCTATTATCTATTATATTTAATATCTCTTTAAGCTATTTAAAAAATATTTTGTTCAAATATGTTTTTACAATTTTTAATTTGTAACAATGCATGTAATTAATAAATAAAAAAATATTTAAAATTAACTTTTATCTTAAATTTAACAATTTCCAAAAAAAAAATATTTCAATTATAAATAATTACAATAAGTCTATTATAATTATTTGTTGCTTTGAATTACAAAGTCGTATATTAAAAATTATAAATTTTTCAGAAAAAATGACAATTAGAATTAGTGTTAAAAATTGTTTGTAACATCAATTTTATGTTTTATAAAATCACAAATTTAGTGTTAGAAAATGATCAACTTTTCTATATTTCAGTAAAAAAAAAAATTAAATAAAAAATTTTAACTTTAGAAACTAACATTATTTTATTTAATACACAATCATAATTATAATATTTAAAAATTTGTTTTTCTCTAGAAACAATGGATTATTGGAGGTGCAGCATCTGGTTCTATTTTGATTATACCTATTTGGTGTTTATATGATCTCAAGAGCATGCCCCGAGCAGAATAATATTTTATTTTTGTTGTAAAAGATTATAATCATGATTTTTTTTTTTGTAAAAAAAAATTCTAGTTGGAAACCTCAATGTAATAAATAAATAAGTAGTATTATATATTATACTTCTCTTTGAACTTTCACTTTTGGAATTTAAAAATTTCTCTTTTAAAAGTTGCATTTCTTTTAGAGAGGAAGAAAAACCTACATAGCACATTGTAACATAACATCACTTAAGATGCAATACCTCATGTCTTATTTTTTTGTCAAATTGAGTTAGCACCTCTATCTTGTTTTAAAATTTAGGATAAATTGTTTGATTGTCTGATAAAAACAATCAGAAAAAGTTATTTGTCAATAATATCAAAATCATAATACCCTCTAATTAAAATTTATCAGTAATAAACCAGTTTTTTTGCTCTCCTAAAAAGTCGGAAAAAGTGAAATATGAGGTGTTGCATCTTAAACGATAATAACCAAATCTTAATAGATTTATACATCAAGTAATGAGACACATACCCGATTGAAATAAGTAGGTGGCCTACTATGAATATTAATTTTTCTAGTTTTAGTTATTAAAGAAGTGACTAAGAACTGCCCATGCACTCAGACTTGTAGGTCAATTGTGTGCACCTCCTAACATATTATATTAATTCGGTTTTTTGACATAAGTGTTTCCACCAATGTCCTTTTATGTACCTAATGCTATATTTATATAGGACATCTTATTTGGCCACTCCGATAAATGTTTAAAAAGAGTCCTGTATCTCTGGTGAAATTAAGTATCTCTTTGGGACTTATGTTTTTGATATCTTCTTTTTCGAGAAAAGTTCAGTCTATGTTCTTATTAAGAATTCTCAGTAAAAGAACTTTCTTGGGCTGCATTGATCACAAGTGGTTTGTCAATGAGCCTAGTATTTTCAAATTTCGGTATATCGGTTCCACCAGTACTCCATAGTATCAAATCTTCAACGCTAGACTTAATGAAATGTCCTTGTCCGTGAGATTAGCCTGCGAGAATCAGTTTCACTTTTTTATCGTCGGTTACCACATCCTCATAGGTGGGTACTCAACAAGTTTTCTTCCGAAGATTCAAGTCCCTTGGATTCTGGTACGGGATTTTTAGTAACCTCCAACTTTTCCAAGTCATTGCTTCCCTTATCCTTTCTCTTTTGTGTTTTGTTTGGTTCCTCTTCTGTTTGCGCCTCTAACTGCCGCTAAGTTACTTAGGGTTAAATTTTTTATTTTTGAACCTGTTGATATTATTGAACAACATACTGGGTACAGTAATATTATTTTAATACATTTAAGATAACAGTTTAAAATGTATTTTCAATTAATAGAATAGTACAAGATCAAAAGGGACATATATCTTTCTCGGTTATGTCGTTTTAATCCTTACAGCTTTTTGTATAATTGTTTAAGATTCAGTCATTTTTTCGCCGTCTATCGAGTATAGTGACCTGTTCCCATACGATATCTCTTATATTATATGTTTTGATATTTCATATTATAAACTATTATATTATGAAAAATTTGTAAACCTTTTAATAACACAATCTATTCCATTCAACAGAACCTTTCAGCAACTGATTCAAGTTGGTTTTGCGATTCCTAGTTTGCATCTGTTGAGATCATCTCTGTGCTAATAGACAGTTTATTAAGTGTACCACTGTTCACATTGAGATTTTCAATTTTGACAACTTTTCTACAAGAAGTCATCATTTCACGCGCTTATTTTGACAAGTTGTCCACAGAATTCTTGTTAGTCCTAATATCGATGTTTTGTGTTTTTATCCATATAGTTCCAACGAATAGTCGAGAAACTAAGGAGTCCGTCACAGCAGAGTTCTATACGGGCTGTATACTGTATGATGCTTCAGGTGCCATAGAGGATTTACAGGGTGAAGGATATTGGTGTTATATCCCCTCGGTGCTAATTTGAAACATAATTTTGATAAATGCCTGAACAAAGAAATAAAATTAGATTTTGTTGTATAATAAAATACAATTTTTAATATATCTTATAATATAACATATATTATGTTTATTTTGAATAGATATGACTCTTAAAAATTATATATCTCCCCCGTGAGAAAATCTTAGATACGTTACTGGTCACTTTACCTTTGGACTAAATAACCTAGGTTAGTTAGCCGAAAAGTAAAATGACTATTAACAACCCATTCACATGGTACGACTTGGTTAAAGGGGGCCTATACGCTGTTTGCAAGCAGGTAGCTCAGTCTTACCGATCCCAACTAACCAAAGTTATTACAGGTTAAGAGCAGTGGTACAAATTGTCAACCCTACAGAGTTTTACTAGGGTTAGCGGGGTTGTTCAGCCTTGATCACAAACTCCCTGCAGGAATTAATTTGTCCAGGTGAATTTTTATTTTTTTTAGTCTTAACACATAAATATCTAATAATGGGTAGATTCAGGATATGATATGTATATTTGACTAAATTAATATTAGCATGTACAGGTAAATAAATAATCAGTGTTGAGTAAATTACTTTTTTTGGTAATTAAATTAAATTAGGAATTAAACTACTTAAAAATTATTATTAATTTACAACACAAATTATTTTATGACGTTTTTTTGCTCAATAAAAAATGTTTTATAAATACCAAAAAACAGATTTTTGAAAATTATTATTATGCAACTACGCCTATAATTTCAAATTAACGAGTGATAAAAAATGAATATATACAAAGTTGTCAACTATATTCATTTGAGTAAGAATTCATTTTTAATTAGAAAAAATTAGTGTCCCTTATACAAATGAGAAAGTTTTGAATCGTTTTTCTCGGACTAATTTACTGGAATTAATTTGTAGCTCAGCTGATAATAATTGCCATTACTATGATAACATAAAGAATATTACGATTAAAAAATTAATTTTACTAGATAATATAAAGTAGACTCTGAACTACTTTATCTGTTGTGTACTAGTCAACACGGAAGTAACTTAATTATTTTTTTCAGTACCGTTACATGTCAATTATTTTTTGACATATTATCATACTGGTATTTAGTAAAATTTTTTCAATTTTGCAATGGTTCGTGTATTGGTTGGCGTTAAGAGAGTAATTGATTATGCTGTGAAAATTCGTGTAAAGCCCGACAAAACTGGTGTTGTAACTGATGGTGTTAAACATGGTCTTAATCCATTTGATGAAATTGCTATTGAAGAAGCTGTTCGACTTAAAGAAAAAAAAGTGGCCACTGAAGTAATTGCAGTGACTTGTGGTCTTCCACAAGCTCAAGAATCTTTAAGAACTGCCTTAGCTATGGGAGTAGATCGTGGTATTCATGTAGAAATACCACAAGCTCAATATGACACATTACAACCTGTCCATGTTTCAAAAATATTAACGAAAATTGCACAGGATGAAAAAATTGATATGATAATTGTTGGTAAACAAGCTATTGATGATGATTCTAATCAAACAGCTCAAATGACTGCAGCCTTATTAAATTGGCCCCAAGCAACATTTGCTTCTGAGGTTAAAGTTGAAGGCGGTGAAGCTACTGTAAAACGAGAAATTGATGGAGGTTTAGAAACAATTAAAGTCAAACTTCCAACTGTTATCAGTGCAGATTTACGTCTAAATGAGCCAAGATATGCTACTTTACCTAATATCATGAAAGCAAAGAAGAAACCAATTAAAAAAATTACTCCAGTGGATATAGGTGTTGATATTACTCCACGGTTACAAGTGTTAAGCATTGAAGATCCTCCTACCAGGCAAGCTGGGTCAGTTTTACCTGATGTTGATGCTTTGATCACAAAATTAAAAGAAAAAGGTCATTTATAAATTAAACAATTTTAAATTAATAAGTGATCATTGACTCACATGTTTTTTTAATTGTAATTAAAAATTACCTAATTTGAAAAAATTATTTAGTTAATTTGTAGTTAACTTACATGTCTTTTTTTAATAATAATATTATAGCTATAAACATTGCTTTATTTCTCAGAAATAAATGTATAGAACATATAAAAAATTGTATAATTACTTGTATTATTTCATATACTTAATTAACTCATTGTTAGGTAGCTTATATAATTAAGCCAATATTGTATTGTCTTTTATGTACTGGTATTGAAATTTCATTTCATTTCACAGAGTTATATACGTTATTCTGTATTTTTTAATACAAACTGTAGTTTATACTATAATGTTAGATATAAATAAAGTTTATGTAGTAATGTTATAAATGGATTGGTCTCCAAACTAGAACTGAAAACATTTTTTGGTGATTCTGTATTGAATCTGTTCAATCTGCATTATAGATTAGAACCATCAATTTGGATTATGGATTAAATCTATCAGTTGGAACTATGGATTGAATCCAAATAACAGTTTGCTAATAAAATCATTCAAAACAATATGAATTATATAAGAAATTAAATACAGTTGTTGATATAATAAGAACTAATTCTTTGAACTAATATTATATAAAATTAAAAAATATCTAAAATATTAAAAATTTTATTTAGTTTTAAAAAAAGATGTTGAGTAATTTATATTTATTTTGTATGTAAAATTATATTATGAATTAACAGATACATTCCATGAACCGAATTGATGGATTCTAACTGTTATCTGGAATGACCAGAATTAATCAAATTGGTGATATTTTTTCAATCCATTATAACTTAATTAGAAATTCAAGTACAGTTCAATCTGGATTTTTTGCTCAGATTTATTCCAGATTACATATATTAATTGTATAATTGAATAAAAAATAAATAATATTCAGAAATTTTAGAATGAACTTCACATCTACACTAGTAATAGCACAGACTAAATAAAAATAAACTGTAGTAATAGTAAATTTTATTCTGGCATTATTTTTTTTGAAGTTAAATTAAAATTTATTATTACAAACCAGGAAGTTCAGTAAATGATATGGATAAATTATGGATAAGTATTTAATTCTAAAATATAAAATAATTATTTTTTAAAAAGATCACATAAACAAAAACCATTAGTCATGAAATATTTTTCAGAAATCCTAAAATTGTATACAGAACCTAAAGTAATCTCACGGAATATATTTACAATGGAATATTCAAATAGAGATATTTTAGCACAAAATATGCTCTCCAGATTATTTCACTCTCGTATATTTGTTTATAAATTACTCAAATTGAAAATGTTTAAAAACTAATTGATGACATAATGAGCTTTTCTATTAAATAAAATATATTTTTAAAAGTATCAGTAATATAAAAAGTATTGGTTGATTTATGATTTGATGCTAATTGTTACAAAGAAGTAAACTAAGTAATGAATTGCGCAAAATTTTTAAAAGAATAAAAAACAAAGTTTAATAAGTGTTTGGTCATAAAAGTTAACATGTTCACAGATTATCAACGTTGCCAAACAATAGAATTAGATAAGTGTTATCTTATCTGTGCTAAAAAGCTCACGCGGTTTATATGTAATCAGTTACAATATAATTGAAAAATAGCAAAAGCTAATAAATTTTTAAGAAATATTTTTTCCTTAGTATAATTTTTATTGAAACGTTACATAGTAACTTATTATTAAATTAAATAAATTATTATTATTTCACAAAAAATGTTGTTTGTATAAATAATGTCAAACTAGCTGAGTGTTAAAACAATATCTCCATAAAAAAAATATGAAAACTAATATTGTTAAATATACACTAGATTAATATTTTTATATTTTTTTCAACGTGATTTAAAATGATTGAACCTGAGTTATTTAAATTTAATCCACAATTAGCTAAGCACTCTTATCTGAAAAAACAATGGGATAAACATTTGAACAGTTTGGACAAAAGTGAATTAATTCATTCTGTAAGTTAAAAGCCTTTTGTAATAATTAATCAAAAAAATCGTTTTTACCTAATTTTTATTATTTCAATATCTTAGTACATAATTTCATAAATAGAAAAAAAATTATATTCATGAAATATTTTTCGTTATTTAATTTTTCCTTAAATAATTTATGGTTGTCAGGTTATCACACCACTATTTAGTAATATTTAATGATTTTAATTGACAATTATTCAATTTATGAGTTTATTATATAAAAAGAATACTTCTAATAAGGTATCACAATTTTATAAACATTTGATCATCAACAATAGTTTTGTCAACCGTTTTACCTTTTATTTTATGAAACATATGGGACTTATTTTATTCCTTATCTAACACTTAATTAAGAAATGGGTAGTATTTTAATCTAAACATAGAAACTTAATAACTTTAGTCGGAGGCGACTAAAGAGGTTGTGACAGGTTGACAGCCGGCGTAAAAATCTTTGTATATTAATACTCATTTAATTTAATTTTTTTAAATATTTGCTAGACTATAAAATTACTGTATTTTTTAACAGTAATTTTATGAACTACAATATAACATGTAATATAATTATTTAAAGCTAAAGGAGAACACATTCAATAATTTTCGTTAAATTTTATCAAGTAACGTAAATTTAGATTTCAAACTATTTTTCGTATAATTTATGTTTTAAAAATTCAGTTAAAGGTTTGTGATACTTGGTCACAAAAGAAAGTACAACAATACACTGCACTAGTTTATGACGTTATTGGCTCAGAGCCTTATTAACTAAATAACAATAACTAAAACAGAATATAGATAAAAAATATAAACCAAAGGAACAATAAGATTACGTTAAACTTAAAGTAAGTTTTATAAAACTGTAGTGAGACCAGCCAGAATATGTGGTTAGAATGTTGATCGGTTGACAAGACAGTGGAGCAAAAATGAGTGTAGTAGAGATGAGAATACTTAGACGGATGTGTGGAATAACTAAAGAAATTGGATAAGGATCGAACCATAAGAAGGAATATAGGTGTAGTATCAATCGTGGATAAGATGAAAGAAAATAGACTAAAATGGTTCGATCATGATATGAGAAGAAAGGCGTCGGAAGCTACGAGAACAGTTATGACAATGAATGTTGAAGGAAAAAGAGGTAGAGGAAGACCAAAAAAGAGATGGAGGGATGCTATTGATTACGATTTGAGGACAACTAATGTGAGCGTAAATGATGTGGGAGATCGTGTCAAGTGAAAGTTTAGGATAAGGGTGGCCGACCCCAAGTAGTTGGGATTAAGGCGAGGAAGAAGATATCATTATCATAATAATTATTATAACAACTAGTAACCATAATAGATTATTCCAACAAAAAAAAATATTTAGGTAGAATAGCCAATGTATATTTAGGGTAGGACATACCTATTGTGGCCTCCAGTTGATTCATTAATTAAATGAATTATTGAAAAATCATTATTGTTATTTTTAGGGTATAATCTTGTTGTATATATTGGTAAGAAATGAGTGTCATCGATGATATAAATTTTATACACATATCTTTTGCTCAATGTAAGAGGCTCTTATCAATATATAATATTTAATATTACCGAATATAGCTTATTATTCTTTTACTAAATATGTATGCTAATTCTACAAAAATTTTCTTGTACTTAAGATACATGCTAAAAAGACTGGAACACACAATATAACTCTTATGGGTAGTAAAAATTTTTAATTTGTTTCTCTCAAATTGTATTTTTTTAAGATGCAACTCTCTTTTATTTTATTGACAGAATGATTTTAAAGCTAATTGTAATATCATATACAGATCCAGAGGAGACAATCTCTCTTAGTGTCTCCTTTATATACCTTTTTTTTATGTGTTTATTTAATTTTTACTATTTTTTTAATTTCTATATATTGTTTTATTCAACATTATTCACCCTTTGTAAATATATTGTAAATTTGCACTTGTATAGCAAAAAAAATTCAAATTGAAATACTATACTTAAAATGAATAAATGATACTCAATTTTTTTAATACTTTTCAGATTACTGTTGTGCTTCCTGATATTTCTTTTCTTCCTGATGATGTTGAAAATATATTTTCTGAAAATAGCCAGTACTACCATGTACAAAATGTTACTTTAGGAACAATTATTGATTCGGTGTTCATTCAATCATTTGTGAAAAATGGTTTGTTATAATATTATGATCATCTAGGGATGCTGTTATAAATTTTGATACCCCATGTAATTAATGAAATTTTATTTTTGATAACCATTTTTATCTGCTATTTAACTAAATGCAATATGCCCTAAGCAACTGCTTGCATTGTCTTCACATAAAGGATACATCCATACAATCACTTTATTAGTATAGTTTTTAGTTTTATAAACTACTATTCTTTGTACAGTACACTTTACATTTTATATTTATAGGTAATATTCAAGCTGTTTCATTAAATACTCGAATCGGTGTAGATGACTGTATGTCTATTTCAAAAAATAATTTACTACAAATGTTTTTGTTAAAAAATTCCTATCAAAATATCTGTTTACCAGTTCATGGATCAAGTAAGCAATTTTTTTTTGTAATATAATTTTTAGAAATAATATTTTTAAAGTTTTTATTCTTTATACATTTACTTAATATATTGTTTGAAAAGGATTAAATATTGACATGTTTTTTTAGTCTGAAACACATTCTCTCTATCAGTTCTATAAAATTTTTAGATTTGTTCTAACTACATTTTAAACTTGATTTATCTTTTCAAAAAGAAATTAAAACAAGTTTATATCTTAGGGTGAAGTTGAACTAAATATTATTTTAAAATACCTTACTAGGGTAATGAGGCCACTAATTTTGATAAAAATTATATGAATCTATCTTACATTTAATATAAAGTTACACTTTAATTTTAATATTTTACTTCTTTTGAATAAAAAAAAAATGATTTAATTTTCAACTAGCTTAAATTATTTTTTTCTGTCTACTGAAAGTGCAATTTACGCTATTATCTTTCATATTCGGGGTACAATTTTATATCCTGCTCGTCGCAGTGACTTTTGTTTTAATTGTTGAGTAGAGGAAAAAATTCATTTTATTTTTATTTCATTACATTAATTCATATAAGCTCAATGAATATCAAGAACCCCATCTTTGTATTAATCCCTCGTGAAAAAAAATTTCTTTTTCATATTAAAATTATTTTACTATGTGGTTTTTTTTGTGTCTGTTGTTTATTTTTATAAGCTTTTACTAAATCAATTTTTTTCAAAGATGCATCAAATAATTAGACTCGTGTCTAATTAAAGATATTGTACTCAAAAATTGAAAAATATTATCTCTTTGTCAAATAAAAAGTTTGTATAGTAAACTTTCTCCATATAGACAACTAAAATCATTTACTTCTAATATCTTTAATATTGTAATATTTTTTATATATATTGTGGAATTAGGTTTGTAATGATAATAGATTTCAACTACAAAGTTAAATAATTTTACTTTGTTATTTGCCAATTTTGTACTCTATTAGTTGGATCTACTACTAATCTATTATATTTCATTTTTTTGGTAAAATGTTACCATACGTATCATTTTCAAAAAAATGTTTTTGGATTTCATCTAAATTTACCAATGGAATTTTACAATTATAATCAATTTTTATAATTCACTTTATTGAGTAAAATTTTTTAACATCATTTTGAGAGTATTTTTTAGTTTCAAAATTAAGAAGGTCTTGTGATGTTATGGGTTTTTATAAATCTGTCAATAAAAATCCTCAGCTCTCATTGGACATTTTAATGTTTAGTATGTTAAAAAAAAACCCAATTTTAATCTAGTTGAACTTATAGCCTCAAAATATTCAAAAAACCCTTAATTTTAGACATTTAGACAAATCTCAAAATTACAATGATCATTTTCAAAAAAACTTTTTTTAATGAAATATTTCCACAAATAACAGGAGTATAACATTTTTTTTTGTATTGAATTACACAGTAAAATCATAATACTAAAATGAAACATTTTTTAAAAATTATTTCTATAGCCTTAAAAATAAATCATTTTAAACTGTTATTTTAAAAATTAAAAATTTTGATCTCTGTCTATGCTATTGAATTATATTAAAGTATATTTTTTTTATAGTTTTTTCATTTTAAAATATAAATATTATCTGGATAATTATAAAAATTTAAATGACTATCTTTTATTCTCAATTTTTAATTTTTTAGTGGAGCTAATTCAATTAATAAATGATATACATGAGAGGTTTTATAAATAAGAAAATAAGTCAATTGTAATAATAATAAGAACAATGAGAAACTTTAACCTTACTTATTGAACACTTAAATAAATTTATGCAGATGAATTAATTTGATTTTCATAAATCAAACTTTAGGAATAACACTCAATCTTATAGAGTTGGATGTGAATAGTAAAAAATACCATCGTATTAAGGATTGTTTCAAATGCTGTGATATTAAGTTTAATATCTTGATTGATTGGGAACCTTTCAGTGAGTGTTTATGTAATATATCAAATGTTAAGTTTGTTTTGGTATTATTTTTTTAGTGTTTAAAATAATAATTAATTGAAAAATATAAATTTCAAAAAACAATAAATTAAACAAAAAAATAAAGAAATTTGATAAAATCAATTTTTTATTGTTACAAAATCAAACTAATTAAAAATATTTTTTTGTAGTAAATATTTTTATAAGAAATTATTTAAAACTTTGTAAAAACATGATTTAAATTCGATATTGACTGGTAAAATTAATTTAAATAAATAAATATAAGTTATTAGAACTTATTATACTTGTATTGTATTAATTTTTAAAAATATAACTATTGATTAGGCAACACTATTAAAAACTTATTATGTTTAAACAAATTGTACAATGTTTCATGTATGTTATATGTTAAGCAGCTTTATAGTAACTAAAAAAATTTTCAGATGATGAAATTTGTCCTTCCTCAATAGCATCATACTTTAATGAAAAGGGATTGATTGTAAATGAATGTTTTCCAAGGTCAAAAGTAGTAAGGAGATATAATACAACTATTCCTTATAGTACTGATGTCACTCTTCTGGATACCTGGTTATCATACTTTAGTTTAGATATAAAAATGTAAGAATTATGATTGATAATTTTTGTATGAGGACTAAATATTTTTATAAAATAGTAAATCTGCTTGGTGCATAAACTCATTTACAATTTTTTTTTTAATTTGTTATATCACTCAGTAGCATTTTCAAGGCTATGTTATGGAGGGTTTTACATCACATCTTTACTTCTGTGTAAAAACACTTTTAATATTAAATAAGGTTCATAAATTGTCAATTTATCTGATTACAAAACATAAAGTAAATTGAGTTGAAAGTATAAATTTAAATATTAAAAATAATATGTACAATTCTTGAAAAAGTTAAGCTAGATTTTTATTAAAATATATGAATAATAGATATTAAATTTAATCAAAATGTGCTAATAATAATAGGAAAATATTTTAAAAGGATATAAAAAAATAAAACCCAGCACAGGGGGGTCGCGGCACAGTGGTGACGTGGTATAGTTGGATCAAGTATAATGATATCTGACAGTGATTAAAATCACTATCAAAAATAAACGCTTCGATGCAAATCTTTAGATAGTGTTTAATTTTAAAAAATTGGTGGATTATTCCAAAAGCTACACAATCTGTTATTTCATTATTTATATTCTGATTAAAATAAAGTATGTCGAATGAAAAAGGGATATAAATATTATTTCGCATAAAAAATAGTGTTGATCCATACAATTTTCAATAAGTTATAGCATTATAAAGTTAAAAATTTTAAAAATAAAATCGAGAATTTTGACACAAAAATAGCATTTGGTAGCCATTTTCACTGTGAAGATAAAATAAAATCAGAAATTTTTTTTTTCCATTGTAAAGTATATTACATTAGATTTAATTTAATATATATATAAAAGTGTCAGACTTTCCTGAACACTTTCAAAAGTTAAAAAATCGGTTTGGTGAGAGCTGAGAAAATGTGATAGACAAAAAAAAACATAGTAAAACCAATACCTTCTCAGCTTTGCATCAAAGCTAAAAGTAATCTAATTTTTCATAAAAATATTTAATCAAAAAAATTTTAATATGTTTTTAAGCGACAACAAGTCCATGTGTTTATTACCAGATGGTAAACTAACAAAATCAAATTCTCGAAATGTTTCTCAAATTATTCAAATTAATTGGTCAGGATTTTTTACCAAAAGCAAAATAAAGATTTTTATAGAAATATTAAAGTAAGTAAACATTAAAATTTTTTTTGTTTAACATATTATTTATTATTGTTTTTTAACAGAAAATTTATGGAAAATAGTGGAAATACTTTATGGTTTTCTATGCATTTAGAACCTTACTCCAATGTTCCATATAATTGCAATCATCAAACTATTGTACTTAATTCTGATAAAACATTATTTTATTCTGACTGTATTTGTGCTAAAAATCACTAAAGTGTATATAAACTAGTTACTTATCTAAATAATTTAGATAATTATTATGTTCATTATTTACTTATTCATTTATCAAACATAGTTAATTCTTATAAATTAGTTTTTTTTTTTTTAATATCAATCTAAAATAAACGTTATAAGTTTCTTAATATTATATTAATTAGTACCAATGGAGTTAAAAACAAATTAAGTAAAAATAATTTAAATAAATAAAAGTATATTTGAATAAATCAATATACTCTTTATTATCATAATTTATATGATTCTATGACTAGTTTAATGACATAGCCCCTTCCCTAAATTTTAATGTTGATCGTATATAAGTATCCTACATTATAATATGTGATTTGTTGTTTGATTGTCTATGAAGTTTCCAAAAACCTACCATTACAAAAATAATTTCTACTTTTAGTTACCAGAGATTAGTTTAACTTTTAAAGTATGGCCCGATCCGATCTGAACTTTTTTTTTAGAAGCCTAATCTAAGCTTTACCTAAGCTAAATATATATGTAAAAATTATACCTATTCGGTACAGTCCAAATAAAAAAAAAATTAATCAAGGCCGATCCAATGCAAAATTATTCAGGCTCGATCCAAATTTAAAATGTAAAAAGTTAATCCCAATTCAGCCTCATTAAAAAAATAAAACCCAGCACAGGGGGGTCGCAACACAGTGGTGACGTGGCATAGTTGGATCAAGTATAATGATATCTGACAGTGATTAAAATAACTATCATAAAAAACGCTTTGATGTAAATTTTAAGATAGTGTTTAATTTAAAAAAATTGATGGACTATTCCAAAAGCTACACGATCTTCTATTTCATTATTTATATCCTGATTAAGATAAAGTATGTCGAATGAAAAAGAGTTATAAATATTATTTCTCATAAAAAAAGTTGTGTTGATCCATACATTTTCCGATAAGTTATAGCATTATAAAGTTAAAAATATAAAAAAAACCCAGCACAGGGGGGTCGCGGCACAGTGGTGACGTGGCATAGATGGATCAAGTATAATGATATCTAACAGTGATTAAAATCACTATCATAAAAAACGCTTCGATGCAAATCTTTAGATAGTGTTTAATTTTAAAAAATTGGTGGATTATTCCAAAAGCTACACAATCTGTTATTTCATTATTTATATTCTGATTAAAATAAAGTATGTCGAATGAAAAAGGGATTATTAAAAAATAGTATTTCCCATAAAAAAATTATTTGATCAATACGCTTTTCAATAAGTTATAGCTTTATAAAGTTAAAAATGTAAAAAATAAAATTGAGAATTTTCACACAATAATAGCATTTGGTAGCCATTTTCACCGTGAAGACAAAATAAAGTCCGAAATTTTTTTTTTACATAATAAAGTAGATTACATTAGCTTTAATTTAATATATATA